TGCCTCCCAAGTGCTGGGATTAAAGGCGTGCGCCACCACCGCCCAGCCATAAAATAATACTTTCAAAGGAGAGGAATCAAGGCCTGGGTGAGGAGCCTGAGGTTGGCGGGTGCAAGGATCTTACATCTCCATGAAGTGGTGTGAACTGGGCTCTCAACGTGAACTGGACCCCGGGGGGGAGGGGGGAACCAGTGCGATGGGGACTTACTGGCCGTGTCCTCTCCTCCCAAGGGACATGGTGCTGATCCTGCACGGCTTCCCGTCTGCTGTGGCCGCCCTTCGGGTAAGAAAGGTGTCTTAAGGGCAGGCTAGCCTGGGGCTTTGAGTTTGTCTAGAGGACCTTGCCCGGGACCACCCTGACCTCGTTGTCCATGTCCCTTCTATAGTTTGAATGGGCCTGGCAGCATCCTCACGCCTCACGCCGCCTGACTCACGTGGGGCCGCGCCTGCGCAGCGAGGCCTCCTTTGCCTTCCACCTGCGCGTGTTGGCGCACATGCTCCGAGCTCCTCCGTGGCTGCGCCTCCCTCTAACCCTGCGCTGGCTGCGACCCGACTTCCGCCAGGAACTCTCTCCGGCACCACCACCACACATGCCCATCGCCTTTGGGCCGCCGCCACCCCAGCCCTCGGTCCCGAAGCGACTCACTGCGAGTGAGGCTGACAGCGAGCGCCCGCTGGATCTTGATGCCAAGGCCAGCTGCATGCTGTGCGCGCGTTTGCTGCAGGTAGGGGCACACAGGGGCGGAGACCCCGGAGTTTGCCCTCCCTGACTCGGTCTAATGAGGACGATCGCACTCTCAGCTCTTTCCTGGCCTATCAGTGCCTGCCAGGGGCGGTTAGAGCCTCTGAATGGGCAACCAGCCACCGTGTAGATCGTTCCTGGCCTCCTTTTGAAGTCACGGCTCTTTTCTGTGCTTCTTGCTTTATTTCCTCTCTTTCTTGCCTCACAAGCCGTGTGCTGCTCTCTCGAGTTACTTCCGTGTCTCTTTACCTGCCACCTCTGACAGGATGAAGAGGGCCCCCTGTGCTGCCCCCACCCTGGTTGTCCCCTAAGAGCCCATATCATCTGCCTGGCAGAGGAGTTCCTGCGGGAAGATCCCGGGCAGCTTCTACCCCTCGAGGGCCATTGTCCTAGGTGAGTCCAGGCCCCCTTCCCAGCCCGTGTAGGCCTGGAAAGAAGGTGCTCCGCGTTTCAGTCCTGGCTAGGGAGTCTCACCTTGACACTCAGGGCCCGGTGGAGGGCCGGGGGGTGCCTGACTCTGCCCTCTCCACCAACCGCGCCCTTTGGCAGCTGTAAGAACTCATTGCTTTGGGGAAGCCTGGTCGGGCAGTGCCGCATGGACACCGAGGAGGAAGAGGACTTGGAATTGGAAGAGGTGAGAGGTGACTCTGGCCCCGCCCTCCCCCAGTCCTCCAAGACTACCCCCGACCTACCCTTTTGTCCTTACAGGATCACTGGACAGACTTGCTGGAGACCTGATTCTAAGTGTCCCCCACTTGCACCCTGTTCCTTTTCTGCCTCCGTCTTCAGTGCTTGGCAGCTTTTACTTGAGCACAATAAAAACGCTGAGCTAAGGGTACCTTCTGGTGTTTTCTCAGAGGAAGAAAGGAAGGAGGGGAGGAAGGGAGGGAGGGAGGGAAGTCGAGGTTTTGGGCCTGACGTGTGGCCTTGCTACTTCCTTGCCCTTCTCAGAGGTAACAGTTACTGTCTTACTTACTTGCCCGTGGCTGTGATAAACACTGGGACCAGCGACTTGGGGAGGAAAGAGATTGTTTCATCTTACACTGCCAGGTAATGGCCCATCAGTGAGGGAAGCCAGGGTGGGCACCTGGAGCAGAAGCCATGGAAGAAGGCTGCTGACTGGCACACTCTCTCGATGGGGCTTTAGTCACACTCTCACTCAGCCCAGGACCACCTGCCCAGAGTGGTCTGGGCCCTCACGTCAATCAACACTCAAGAAAATGCCCCCCCCAGACATGTCCACAGGCCCATCTGGCTGAGGCAGTCCCCCACTGGGGATCCCTCAGATATGGCTGGGCTGGGTAAAGCTGACAGCTGGGGCTGGACAGGTGGCTCAGTGGTTAAGCGCACTGGCTGCTCTTCTAGAGGTCCTGAGTTCAATTCCCACATGGTGGCTCACAACCATCCATAAGGAGATCTGATGCCCTGTTCTGGCATAAAGTTGTACATGCAGGTAGAGCATTCATATACATAAAATAAATGAATAAATCTTGAAAGAATAAGCTGATAGCAGGAGCTAAACAGAATAATTAAAAGCCCAGGAGGCCAGCACCTGTGGCTTGGAGACTGCGTGCCTCTGCTGGGAGCAGAGGTCCTTGTGCTCACAGATAAGCATGAGGGAAACAGGAATGCTAACCAAGCGAGATTGTCTTTTCAAGGGACAAGATGTTTTCTGCCCCGAAGGCTGGGAATGAGGCGGCTAACAGGCTGGGTGGCGGCGGCCCAAAGGCGATGGGCATGTGTGGTGGTGGTGCCGGAGAAAGTTCCTGGCGGAAGTCGGGTCGCAGCCAGCGGAGGGTTAGAGGGAGGCGCACCCACGGAGGAGCTCGGAGCATGTGCGCCAACACGCGCAGGTGGAAGGCAAAGGAGGCCTCGCTGCGCAGGACCAACACCGGCTACTGAGTTGTGCTGAACTGTATCTCCTTCCTGCCTCACTCAGGCCGTTTCTCTGCCAACCCTGGTGTTTGCAGAGGGCCCCACACGCCTCCAGAGCCAAGCTCGCTGCTAGGTCTTCATCTAGATGTTCCTGAACTTGGGAGTCACAACCTACACCAAGTCAGTCTGACCACCTGTCCTGAATAAGCCAATTAAAAGAGCCACATTAAGAGTTCAAAGCAGAAAAAGGAAATTATTCAGTGTGGTCATCATACTGGGGAGAAGAACAAAGGTCCAGCAAACCCCTTGAGCACATCTTCAAGGTCCTTCAGTGAGGTCAAAGTTTAAATGGAGGTCCAAGGACAGGCTCACCTGAGCAGTTCCGGTCAAGGTTTGGTCGCACCCACCACTGACATATGTGAGATCTCTTTCAGGGAGACAACTTCCCTCTCTAGCTGGGGCCCTTTCTTTTCCCCAGCATGATTTTTCCCGGAGGAAATTCCCAATTCTTCATTGTTTCAGGAGTCTGATAGTCAGCTTGAGAGACACAAGTGTCTACTTAGGTCTTCATTTCTGCCAGGCCAGTGACATAAACACTGAGACTAAGGTGATGGCTGTCTGCTCTCCACAGAGCCCTGTGGTTCACTCACATGTTGCTCTCTGGCTCTCCTCACTGCTGGTCTGCACCTATGGAAAGGGAAGCGGCCCCGCCCACCCTGCCCTGTCGTGTGTGGTCGTCCGCCCCGTCCCGTCCCGTCCCCCCCCCCCCCCCCCCCGGACCTCAACCTGGTGACGTGTTAGAAAAAGGCCATTCTGCAGAGGTGGAATTTCCAGGGCCAACCAGGTGTAGATCACTGTTGGGAAAACAAAGCAGCCCGCCTGTGGGCGCCTTCTCCCCTGGCTGTCCTTTCATGCTGTATCTAAGGGCCAGCCAGGTTTTGGTTTGCAGATGCGATTAGCTTGGTTCTAGCTGGGGTTCTCTAGAGGGTGACCCCATCTTCAACCTCTACTTCCTTCATGAAGGACAGCCAGTCTTAGCACTTAAATAAAGCTTCCTCTGCTTCACCCTTTCAAGGAAACGGCTCTAAATTCCTCCCACATGGGACTTTCAGAACCCCACCCCCAGAAAGAACCCTGTACCCAAGGCCGCGTACACAGTAAGCTGTGTGCCCAGGAGGCCACAGGGCCACGTCCTCTTACGTCAGGTGAGCCTTTGCTCTGCCCAGCACCTCACTCCAACATGCTCCACCTGAGGCTTGCTCTGGTTGTATGGGCAGCTCCTGTCTGGTCTCTGCCCGGGCTTTTCGTTTCTGTGTTCTTTCTCTGTGCTTACCCCATCTCAGTCATCTCCAGCTGAGCAGAAGTTTTGCTCATGCGTGGAGAAGCTTCTAACCCCCAAACAAGCTCGGGGCTTCAACTAACTGCATTTGTCCCTGGTGCCAAGTTGAAAACGGGCTGGGCAGGTGGGATCTGAGGAGTGCATACCCTGAGTGGCTGCCTTTCGTGGATGGCCTGAGAAGCTGAAGAAGGAACGTAGTGAGGACAGGAGGTCACGGTGATAGACTGACAGCTGCAATGGGAGGTAGTTGGAGAATGGAAGCAGGCTGCAAGCCGTGAGCATGGGCAGGTGCCTGGGGACCTTCTCTGGTACAGTGTGGCGTCTCCTGGGAAGCTGCCAAACTTTGCATCTGGGCTCTACCCGCAAGGGTTCTCCAGTGGTCTGGCTACCAGTGGGGTACTGAGCTCAGGAAATGTTCTGCAGGTAAACCGCTGTTCAGCCAGACTGGGGACCACTGCCCTGAAGTTAGATCTGCCTTCCAGTCACAGCCCTACCAACTTGCTGGCTCTGTGAGCTCCAGCAGAGTGCTCAGCCCCCCCAAAGCCTCCTGCTCTTTATTTTATGGCAAGAGTGCCTCAGATGGTAGTGGTGTGTACTAACAGAAATGGGATGGCTCTGTCTCGGCAACATGGAACGGGTTCAGGAAACCCCCGCCGGCCACTAGTGTACCTGCAGGTCACCCCGATTAGACAGATTGCAGAGGAGACTGCCGAACTGCAAAACTTTCAAACCATTCCTGATGACCTGCTCATCAGCACGTACCCAAAGTCTGGTAAGCCAGCAGAGTGCCATAACCAGGCCTGCAGCTTCCGATCGGCAGGCAGAGCCAAGCCCTCAGCCTTCCGACTTTCTTTCCACATCCTCCTTTCCAGGTACCACCTGGGTCAGGGAGACGCTCGACACGATCTATCAGGATGTTAATCTAGAGAAATGTCACTGGGCTCCCATCTATATCCAGGTGTCCTTCCTGGAGTTCAAAGCCCTGATGTCCCCTCAGGCATGTGAGGGGACCCTGGGGAAATGCCATCGAGGCAAAGAGGACCAGGGTCCTGATCACCATCACTTCCCTACACATGCTTAGGTCTTGAAGCTCTGGAAAACATGCCGGCCCCGAGGCTGTTCAAGACGCACTTGCCTGTGTCTCTGGTCCCCTAGAGCTTGCTGGGTCAGAAGGACAGCGTGAGAAGTCAGGACGGCACTAGACAGCCCTGGACAGACCGCTGTTCCTGTGCTGCGGTCTCAGCTCTTTCATTACCGAGAGGCCACCTGCCTATCAGTGATGTGGGATGCAGATGCAGATCTAAGAGAAGCCACAGAACATGGGGGAGAGAGCTGGCAAGACCCACGCCTGCCTTGTCCCAGCACAGGTGTGTGGCCCCTCAGGGGACCAACCTGACTTTAGACCCTTGTATTGGTTTGTTTACCCTCACCGTGAGTAAGATGGAACTTAAGATCTGTTCTGACTCATGGCTTCAGGACATAGCATATCTTTTTCCTGGGTTGTGGTAAGGCTTCCTGATTTGGAAGCACACGGGCGGGGAGCAGTAAGGAGTACAACACCATTGGTGCTGTGGAGTTCTCCAGCCCAGCCCCACCTCCTCGGATATGCCGCCTCCCAGGAATGCCGACCAAACATAAACCATGAGTGGATCAATCTCTGCATTTTAGGTCAGTCCTCACTAGCCGGTCACTTCACAGTGGTGCTGCCCAGCTCGAGCCAAGCCTTCAATAAGAATGCTCTGGGGGATGCTCCGACCCATGCCAGGGACAAGCACAGTATAAATCCCAGTTCCGTGGTACCCGACCACAGGCTGAAAGAGTCCAGGCTGTTCCTCCTTGGCCGCTTCAGGAGACAGTTCCCCCATGGGTGCTGTGAAGGGGGAAAGAATACAGGATGGCCCAGGCATGGTGTCACATGCCTTTAATCTCAGCACTGGGGAAGCAGATAGGTCTTCAGGAGTTTGAGATTAACCTGGTCTACACAGTAAATTCCAGGCCAGCATTGGTTACATAGAGAGACTCTGTCTCCCACTCCCAAACAAAACTACAGGCAGGCATGTTGGGAAATGCATTTAATCCCAGCATTAGGAAATCAGAGATGGGCAGAACTCTGAGTTCGAGCCCAGCTTGTTCTACATAGTGAATGCCAGGATAGCCAGGACTACATAGAGAGACCCTCTCCCTCCCCAAATAAAACAATAAAGCAAAAAAAAAAAAACAAAAAAACAAAAAAACATCCAATCCCTTTCCAGCTGAATATATATATATATATATATATATATATATATATATATATTTGATATGTATTTGGTGGCAGCAGGATTGGGGGAGGCTTGGTGTGTGAAGATTGCTACTGAGGGTGGGGGCATCTGTCCCTGCAGGTGATCTACACTGCTTGAAATCCAAAGGACGTGGCTGTCTCCTATTATAATTTCTACAGCATGGCCAAGGTGCAAGGTAAATATCTGATATGTGGCCCCCGTGTAAGGGTCATTGGACCCCCAAGGGAATCATGACCCACAGGTTGAGAACTGATGCTTTAGACAAATATGAAAAATGGAGGGACAGCCAGGTGGAGGTAGCACACTTTTAATCCCAGCACTCGGGAGGCAGAGGCAGGTGGATGTCTGAGCCAGCCTGGTCTACAGAGTCAGTTCTAGGACTGCCGTGACTGTTACACAGAGAAACCCTGTCTCAAAAAAGACAGACAAACAAAATCACTAAAGGAGGGAAAGGAATCACCAGATAGCAAACTCTAAATCCAAATGAATCCCAGGCCCCACAGGCTGGAGTGACGGCTTAGCAATTAGGAGCACTTGCTGCCTAGTACAGGACCTGATTTCTGTTCAGTGTCCATACTGGGCCCCTCACAGCAGCCTGTGACACTAGTTCCCGGGAACAGATGCCTCTGCCTTCCCAGCCTCCTGCACTCACAGGCATATAGATCACCGAACACACACACACAATTACAAATAATCCTAGCAGGGCTAAGAGCACTGGCTGCTCTTCCAGAGGTCCTGAGTTCAATTCCCAGTAACCACATGGTGGCTCACAACCGTCTGTAATGAGATCTAATGCCCTCTTCTGTCATGCAGGCAGACATGCAAATAGAACACTCAAATACATAAGTAAATAAACTCTTGAAAATAATAAAATAGTAATAAATAAATATATAAACAAAATACAATTCATTAAAAGAAAGGGCTAGAGCCGGGTGGTGGTGGTGCACACCTTTAATCCCAGCACTGGGGAGGCAGAGGCAGGCGG